TATATGTGATTTTTTGACACTATTTTCAAATATATAATAAAAACAACAATACATGGCAAAATCTGTATCACACCCCATATCAACCCTCGACCAATATCAGCCCTCTGGCCTTCGGCCCTCGGGCTGATATTGGAGTCTCGGGTTGATATGGGGTGTGATACAGATTTTGCCATGTATTATTCTCTATATATATTGGAATAAATTTATTTCTGTGGTTAAGGATATGACCAGGATGAAGATCGTTTGACTGTTATGCATGCACCTTCTCCAAATAGGGTTTTGATGCCTATTACTATAGAACTATTTAAAGGAAATAATGTGTTCAATATGACCATTATGTTTTCAGAAATTTAAAAGACACACTTCTTAAAAACACATATAAAGCATTCGTAAAAAGTTCTCAAACCACGGACATTTAACTGTTTTAGCAAGAAGTGCTTATTAAATTTACCTAATTCACGATATATAGAATATATATTTATTAATGAAATCAGCGGATTATTTTCTTATAATCCTAATTAAATCAGAAATATGGGTCACATTTACTTGGTGACAATATTGGCAAGAGAATTTAAAATGGAACCAGAAATATTTGGATACGATTACTCAATGACTGAAAGGGTTTTTCATCTCCCAAATTATTAGTCTTTGTCTCTTAGTTTAAATCAAATTTAATTCGTGTTCCTATGGTTTCCTATGCGTAATGGTAGGAAATGACTATCCGTGTATCAAAACACTTGAAAGCAATTATTGACAGTCTACAATCGTATATATCATTGTATATCTAACACAAAATTGACATAACCGGTCACGAGTGGGACTATTATCGTGGCTTGTAAAAGTAAAGATAAATATAAAACAAGCTTAATTGGACCAAAATAAATACATATTTTAAAAAAATATTATTCCATATTTTATTGTCTAGATTGAAGGAAATCGATACAGATGCTATTTATTCAACAATCCTGCTCTCAATAAAGTATAAAGACATCTAGATGTAACGACTTCTTATATCGCAATAAGATAATAAATGACATTTATCAACCTTATTCGCTTATCAGCCCAAATAACATTGTGGGCACTTCACAATTTCTATCTAAGGTTACCTGTATATGTGCAACACAGATTGTAGTCAAGTGACCTATTACTTTAGCAAAGTTGTCCTGTGAGGTAAGTTTTTTCTTACTAAAATATATTAAAAATATGCAATGAATGTTTCGACTGCACCGTAATCTAAAGTAAATATTCAAGTTATCTATAGAAATTTCATTGTAACATATATATGCATTTAAAGCATGCAATGGTAGGCACAAGAACAGGTAATTTGCAAGCAACTTTTGATGCCCCGGTAATCGAAGATTCGAGGGTATAAAGTTTTTGTCCTGTCCGCCCGTCTGTCTGTTTGTCTCTTTGTCCGAAATACTGTAACCTTACCCATAACTTTTGATTGGTTGAATGTATGGCTTTCATATTTAAGACGAGTATTCTATGCGACAAGGCCTTTCTTTGGGTATCAACATATTTGACCTCTTGACGTTGGAGTATGACCAAGTTTTGCATAAAATTACCAAACCTTAACCTTGGCCATAACTGTTGAACAATTAGTGCTAGGGCTTTCATGCTTCACATGCGTATTCATCGTGACAATATCTTTCCACAGGTCTAAATGTTTTTGACATTAAACCTTGACCTTAGAGTTTGACCTACTAAAAATATCCTTGACTAAAGTTTTTGAACAGTTAGTGCTAGGGCTTTCAAATTTCACCGAGATATTCCATATGACAAGGCCCTCTTTTGGATACCAGCATCTTTGACTTTTTTGCATTTGTCCTTATATTTTCACCTATTTTTGACACAGGCACTTGGGGTATGGACCCCTCCCCCTTTTCCATTTTTTTTTTAAATCTGGGATCTAGTCACCTTTTTCCTATTTTTGTATTCTGATATGCACTATTTGTTATCGATAATGTAGCCCTTTTGTCGCTATAAGCTGTTTTTAAATATATCGTTTTCGACTGATACATAAAAAGAGAGAAGGCTTGCAACTCTTTTCTAATCGTCTGCCTCACCTCGCTTAAACTTCGCCTGATTATTTATCTAAAGCATAACAAAACATTGAATTTGCATACATCAATAAATTTGTAATACATTCTTCTTCCTTTTCATGTTTCCATTTAATTTTTATGTGCCCCCGATTTGTAGATATTTCGATTAAATCATCCGCATCTAGGGTAATTTTTTTGGTGGAAAAGGGGGGGGGGGTTCATACCCCAAGTGCCTGAGATTTTTGAAAATAAAATTAACTTTCGCCATAAACTTTGAACAGTTGGAAGTAGGGCTTTTATATTTTGCGTTTGTATTTCTAATCCAAAGGTCTTCCCTGTGTTCCATTAATGTTGACTATTTGTCCTTGACCTTGGCGTTTGACCCACTTTTAGACAACATAAACCTTGACCATAAATTATGAATGGTTGGTGTTTGGGTTTTGATATTTACCAGGTATATCGAATGACACAACACCTTTCTTTGGTTAACAACTTTTTTTTTCTTTTAGCCTTGCAGTTTGACTAGCATTTGAGGAACTTTAACCTTCGCCATAAGCTGCATATCTATTTTGATAACTTGACAAGCCATAATTACCAAATTTTGAAGGGAAAAAAAAGAAGGATAATAAACTCTTCTTCGGATGCTGATTGCCTCTGTTATGGAAAATCAATGATTTTATGTGTATGTCAGTATGACTCGCCAGCTTTCGGCCTTCCTGCTTTTCTGCATTCCCATAGTTTACTTCTCCGCTCCCACAGTACTTGACATTGCTTTTTCGTAACTCGGTTTGCATATCTTGACCTGTCTACCTTTTATAATATAAAATGCAAAGAACATTTTTTTTATATACATAATTAAACATATGTGAGGATAAATTAAGGGGAAATAATAATCATTTACAATCAAGAGGAATAAATCACTGTGAAATGGATATTTCTTGAATAGACGCCGTTAAAAAAATTACGAATGACTAATTTATTGAAAGGTTTTGATAATTTTTATGATTCCAATCTAAAATATTTTAAATTAAAAAAAAAATTCTACTGTAGAATATCATAAGTATTATCAGTATTATCGTATGATCATATATGCACCAAATACGATTGTCAGCATTCTTCTAAATTTATCAGCACTGGTAGTAAAAAAAAAGTCACTAATGTGTAAGTTGTACAGTAAAGAAAGTACATTGTCAGGGATTGTCTACTTTGTCTGCAAGAAAGTGGAAATATCCTTCGTTAGTAGTAGGCAAATCATCGATCAAAAGATGATTTGCCTACAACGAAAAATTTATGAGGAGTTTAGGAAACCAAGTTTTTATAGAAAAGAAAGGTCTTTTGTCAACTACCATTTGACCTAAAGGGTGAAATGAAAACACTGAAACCTTTTTGCACCTTCAGGACACAACCTTAACAGTACTGTTAAGGCTGCATAAAGAGGCAGTGCCTAATTTATAGGGGGAAAGTTTACTGTGACATAACACAAAAAAGCAATTCCTCACAATTCTAGAAAATAAAATTATCTCAGATTTTAAACTGTTTAAAAGTAATGAAATAATTCAACACTTTTACTACTTTTATTTTTTGCTAGATAAATCACATAAAACAAGATGTTACCATAGAAATACTAAATCACTAATCACAATGCACTTGTTGACACGACGTCATAATGGTAAAATTTGATTGATTTTATGTGCAGCGAGAGGCGGATCAAGTAATTTTTTTTTCATAATAAAAAATGCATTTATTATCAAGCAGAATACTATTTACAAATGTTAAATAGACCATCATTACCAATGTGAAACCTTTGTTAAGTGCAATTATTCAATAATTATTAGGAGAAATTATGGAATTAATTTTATCTTGTTTTTGGTACAGGGTTGGCATGTTTAACTTCGATGTGCCCCATATATATATATATATATATATATATATATATATATATATATATATATATATATATATATATATATATATATATATATATATATCAGATCACATTTTTGAAACGGCATGTTTAACATTTCTTGACCATTTTTTGAATAAATATAAAAGAAATATTCTTTAACTTGAGGAGTGCTGCTGCTCTCCCAAAATCGAGAGCGTTACTCAAAAAAATACTTGATAATGGTCACACATATTTCAGCTTTAGACAAATTGCTTGAAACAAAAAATGTGATTTCTATTTAAAGTAGCAGCATAAAGAACCATTTAATTTTTTATTTGAACTATTATAAATCTTTCAATATAGAATTTCTTTATGACCTCCATACAGTACATATTATATACATTTATGACATGACTGTCAAATAAGTCGACCATACTAGATTTAATTCAGAGTGGGGTATTCTATGTAATTTCAATTAATATTAAAGTCACATGATAATATAATAGCTTTACAAAAATAATTTTAGTTTTAAAACACATGCATTTTTAAACGTCTATATTCCATTGCTTTTATTCAAAGTATGCATTAACAGTGCTGCTTATCATATTCAAATAAAGTAATTGTCGCTGCTTTTATTGTAAGAAGAATTACAGGACGGACGGATCAGGATAACAAGATACCCAGACGGTTTTTTTTATAGAAAGTGCGGGTACTTTCAGATCATTTGAATGTGATATCTTATGGTGACAGTTGGCAGGACAATCAATATTTTAATAGTAGGAAAGAGGTATAAAAGTATTTATCATACATTATAAGAAGTTATGATAATGTTTTACAGTGTCAAATAATACACGACTTACCTCTCACAATATTAATTTGAATGCTTTCAAATCATAACACATACAATATGGTTGCACTTTATTTATATCTTTTTTTTAAATAAAGAATAATTTTCATATTTCTGTTTGCCAAAAACAACACTAAAATTTAGACAAAATAATTAATACCTATTTTTTTTCTCATATTTGTTCATTTAGATTTAACATGGTTTAATATTGACATTATTTTAGATTTTATTAGCATGTCATTAAACGGGAGAACTGCCTTAGTGACCGGTATTTGTGGAGGCTTGGGATCTGAAATTGCTGTATCGCTAGCCCGATCTGGATGCACTATTCTCGGAACAGACCGTTATGATGCAGAAACTGTTGCAGATAGCATTGAAAAGCTCACCCAAGTGTAAAATTTCATTCAAACTTTCTGTCAGTATATAAGTATTGAGTCATGAAATATGTAGATTACAAACAGTAATCAAGCTCAAAGGTCCATTGAAACAATATAAATTTGGAGCAGATTAAACAATGACCCCTTTAATTATCAAAGGTGGGATCAGGTGACATGGAGGAGTAAGCATACCCTGTCGACCGGTCACATCCGCCTTGTTTTCCTTGTCATGATCGGACTAACGTAAAAAAAAATCCGTAGATAATTCATTGTGAAATAATGGACGAACATTTTGAATGAAAAACTTTAGTTAACATTCGACTTAATGCGAGATTGTATCTAATGACAATATTATTATATCAACTATTGGTTTTGCAAAATGTTGAATTAAAACGAGGCCGTTAAAACTATTGCTGTCGTTTCATCAATTTATTTGTCGATAGGTTGCCTCGGTTTAGAAAGTGTTCGTACATAGAACATGATCTTGCGCATCGAAGCAATTTGAGTTGCATATGAGGAAGTATAAAATTTTAAATTTATTACTATTTTTATTAATTTGTTCAATTGCTGTTTATTTCCACCTTAAAATGATTTATTAGGTGTATCTTATATGCAGATGCAAAAAAGATGTTAGTTATTTTGAATGCAACCTGCTGAAAAGAGAATGCATAACAGATCTTTGCCAGAAAATTGATTCTGCGGTTCCATCTGGTGTAGATATACTAGTAAATAATGCAGGTAACTTATATGTATCCTCTATACATCAATACATAATATACTAATGCTAAATGGAAAATTTTGGTAGAATTTACACTTGTCTAAGAAATGATCTGATTTGAATGCACATTTTTTTTTTTAATTTAATAACAACTGAATGTCTTAAAATGAATTTATCTTTTGAATAATTGAATTACTGTTACACATTCTTGATTATTTTTATTTTTGATATTACTAAAAAAATCTACCTCAACTTCATGTTAATACATGGAGTGTTATTATTCTTCAACACTCAAGTACTTAGGCTTCGTCGTAAAATTAATACAATAGCTGTATTATTATTATTATTATTATTATTATTATTATTATTTCTTACAGGTGTTCTCTACTCTGACTTCCTAGAAAATAAAACTCTAGAGAGTTTTGATGAAGAAATCACTGTAAATTTGACGGCACCATTTCATCTTTCTAAATATGTTTACACGTCAATGAAAAAGAAAGGTAAAACATAATACAATAATAATTCAATAGCAGTTTCTATTGAACCCCCCCCCCCCCTCTGAGATAAATAACATCTAAAACTATCAAATAATAACAAAGACAAACAACAACAATTGTTATACCCTTATAAATATCTTTCTATATATTTATTACAAAGAAAAAACCCAACAAAGTAGATGTTTTTTCATGGATCCAACAATTTCATTGATGACCGGTCTGTCAGTCCAACATAAGAATTGTTAGACCGCAACGTCACTGCTACGTCATAAGCAATTATTCGTCGTCAATATCGGTGACACGGAAATAGCCGTTTCAAGAGTTACCGCGTATTCTATTTGAAAGATGGCCTCACGGGAAAAAAAATATTTTGTGATAAGTTATTTCTCTGTTATAATAATTTAATGATTATTTTTTTCATTCTTTGTTGTTGTCATTTTTTTATTTTTAAAGCCAAAATATTACTTGTAAAGAAATTGTTTAATTATATGAGTAAATCCAATTAAAGGTTTTAATTTTAGTGTTCTATCTTAAGTGAAGGGTATAATAAAACATTTATAGACTGTGATTCGGGCAACATATGATTTGTTGGTCCTGAAGGTGAAAATGTTGCCCTTGGCCTGCAGCTGACTTTTTTTAAGGAGGTAGACTATTAAAGTAAGTAAGGTAAAATATACGGGGGGATTACACATATATTTTGTACCTTCTTAAATAGGATGGGGGAGAATAGTGAACATATCGTCGGTGATAGGACAAATAGGATTCCATAAAACCACAGGATATGCAGCCACAAAGGCAGGACTTATTGGACTTACTAGGGTAATTCTTTCACTAATTATGTTCCCCAAACGAAGTTTGGGAACATATTGTTTTTACTCTGTTTCTTATTATTATTATTATCAAGTCTTCCGTTCACAACGGAAGACTTATAGTGATTGTATTGTTTCTTTTTAAGTCTTCCGTTCACAACGGAAGACTTATAGTGATTGTATTGTTTCTTTTTATTATTATTATTATTATTCCTCCCAAATTTTGTGAGCGCGATTACTCAGAGATGGTTGGATAGATTTTCACAATTTTTCACATGACAGTAGGCTGATATATGAAGTTTATATAAAATTCCGTTTTTTGAAAAATTCACTTCCGGTCCGAAGTTACGGCCGAATTTCCAATTTTTAAATGGACTTTTGTCCGGAATTTTTCTCGGAAACGGTTTAAGGTAAAGATGTGAAATTTACAGGGGTATTAGACCATGACATTCTCTTTGTTTCGAAGTTGTTTTCGTGTGTTTCCGGTACTTCCTGTCCGAACCGGAAGTGAACTTGTGTTTGGTCAATTTTCAACTTTTTTGTTTTTTAATATTTTTTCAAGATATTATTATGTATAACAGAGGTTATTCTACAAATACTAAATATATAATTTGTTTTGAAATCAGATTCCACATTTTGCAGATTTTCGGTACCCTCATTTTCCCTATTTACCTAGTGTGTAGACAATGGGCAAAGAAAGATAACTCCGACTTGTAAGTGAGAATAGAACTTTCGAGATAAAGGCGGAAATAGTATCGATGACGTTAGAGACATATACACTCTCCATATCAAAATATTTAGACGTTCTATACATGTATTCACTCTTCAAAATTTAAGAGGACGTTGGTTACCGCTTCCAGTGCATGTAAAGTTTGAAGTTGCCAGTGTAGTGTAAGTCTGTATTGACAGTTAGTTAATTTACACATGAATATATCTAAAAAAAAAATTAATATATATATGCTAGGTAGCTAATTCAAGTAAATATATTATAAGCACTGAATATACATTTATAGTGATGGACAGGCATGCAGTTTTATCTATTTCGTATATTAAGTTCAGAATACGATAGTTATAAGCCTTCTATAATGCAGACGATTTACTATTCTTTATGATCTGAATGCGAAATTATCCCGATTTCCGAGTTTTACTTTCGATATTAAAAAATATTACATACACTCAAAAAAGGAATTAAGCGATAGAAAATTGTAATACAGTACTGTTTAAAAGCCTTTATAAATAAATTGATATCTGCCACTGAAAAGAAAGAAAATCAATCTATAGATTAGATTTGGTTATTACATATATATTTGATAAAAGGTTAAATTATTTATGACACATGATCTATACTCTATATACCCAAGGAATTATAAAAGATGTGAAAAGGCGATTCTTGGATTCTTGTGAAATACTCAAAGAGTTAAAGAGTGTGTGAAATAATGGTACGCTATATGTTTCTTTTGGAAAAAAAAAACATGATAAAAAAAATTGTACAAGTCTGTTGATATGTGGGATAAGTATATCTGAATGAACACAATTTTATGCAATGATATATAATCATGTACATGCAACTGACGTCCGTACTTTTCCTTGTAATTCATAAAATTATCTAATTCCTTTGAAGCCCCCCCCCCCTCCCCCCCGTCTTGAATTTGAATTATATATTCGTTTTAGATTTAAATCTGGAACATGTGAATAACATTACCATTTACATGTATACAGAATTTCATATTTTATGATTATGAAATGTTCAATTTACATGTCTGAGAGAGAGAGAGAGAGAGAGAGAGAGAGAGAGAGAGAGAGAGAGAGAGGAGAGATTCCCTCTTAATCCCGATCCAAACCAAAAATTAGTTCTTTATCGGTCACACCCATTCTTTATTAGATGTTTTCTGATTTCATAGTCAGTCATGGTCACATCCTGTATATTTTTCAGCTTAAAAAGTATCACACGTAGTGCACGTGTGTTGACCTGTCAATCAAAATCACTTGACGCTGTATGCACTGCAATTAAGTAGCCTGAGTTCGAAATGATCTTGAAGTATGATCTTTAAGTAAATCTGCTGCAACAAACTTGTGAAAAAAAATAGAATAAAATAAAAAATAAAATATCTCGGTATTATGAACTTCGACTGTGGGACGTGGAGACCGGTCCTTTGGATGAGATCGTATAAATCGAGGTCCCTTGTCGCAGAAGATGCTGGCATAAAAAAGATTCCCCACTGCTCAATTGCGATAAATGCCAAAGTATAGGACAAAAATTTACAGTCTCCACCGGCGAGTGGTGGCGTCTCCATGTGAGTGAAAAATTCTGAAAAATTCTGGAGAGGGACGTTAAACAACATACGTATAATCAATCAATCAATCAATCAATCAATCGATTGCTGAAGAATTACTGTAATTGAATAATTTGTCTTATAGGTATGTTGTCAAATCTTGATATTATAACTTTACAAAACTCAGTGACTTTACGTTTAATGTGATACTAAATTAATTCATTATATTTTTTTATAACACCATCACAATTATGCCAAAACCTACACACAGTGAAGTTTATGATAGTACGGTGTTCGTTCGTCTGTTTGTTTGTCTTAGAAATGATTGCAAACATTTTTTTTTTTTAAATTGCTAATGATATACGTATATCTCTTATAGGTTCCAAATGTATTATACAAGATTGATAATGAAAATCAAAGTACCTGAAGTACTGAAAGGACTTTTTTCCAGTTATTTTTTTCTTTCACAGTAAATATGATATGTATGTTTTTACACAGAAAAAAGCAAATTCTTACAGATTTAGAAGAACGGAAGACTTTTTTGTTGCCATGGCAACAAGAGTCTAGTTTTTATTATTATTCTTTTTTTCTACTTTCTTCTCCGGTACTTTTTTGTCCGGGAGTGTTCTCATAGAACCACTCATCCGATTGACATGAAACCTTTTTAGGGTTAATAGGCATGTTGTGTAGGTGTTCGGAACGAAGGTCATTTTGCGCGCACATGCATGCACGTGCGCGCGCGTGCAATGAGTGAAATGACTGATATACTTGATGAAGCCGTAACTTTTGTATTTCTTGATGAATTGCTTTGAAACTCAAAATATAAAGATATATTAGTAGTCTAGATAAGATAACGTGGTCAAATTAGCGTGAACTCACGCGCATGCACGTGCGCTCTTCTCTGATTGGCTGATACAAAAATCTCAATAATTTCCTTGTTTTTTCACAAAATACTTTGAAATTTAGAATATAAGTATATATCAGAAGGTGCTACAACATGTTATATAGGAAATTTCTTGAAAACACGCGCATGCAGGTGTGCTGCAATCTGATTGGTTGAAACTTTAAATGTCTATAACTCCCTTGGTTTTCAACAAAACAGGATGAAATTTACGACATGGATAGGCACATAGAGCTCCTACAATATGATACTATCAAAATTGAATGCAAGGCCATGCATGCGCGTACGCTGATTTCTGATTGGCTAATACTTAAAGGGTTACATCTCTCTTATTTTTCAATGAAATTCTTTAATATTTAACACAAATGTATGTATTGTGAGACACTATAAGAAAATTAATGTGAAAAATGTAGAAAACATGTGCAAGCACATGCGCTGAAATTTGATTGGCTAATACCTATATGGCTATATCGGAGTAGTTTTCCAATGAAATACCCTTAAAAATAAAGTATCCATTTATATTACAAAAGTATTGTCTAATTCATTGAAGCTTGTAGGGAATGGGGCATCATAAGGGATTGGGGAGCCGTTTGGGGAACATCTGTAACGGTTCCCGTTACAATTAGCACTAGTTACATGTATATATGATTTTTCTCAGCCGAAAACAAAAAATAAAAAAAGACATATAAGGAAAAGAAGTGAATCACAATAATTCATATGTCAATACTTATGTCTTTTATTATGGATTATTTTTCCTAATTATTATGGAAAATAAAAAGAAAACATATCGAGTGTTTAATTTTTTTTTTTTGTTAAATACAAGGCCATTGCAGTAGAGGCTGCGCCGCATGGAGTGACGTGCAACAGTATATGTCCCTCTTTAATGGATACCAACTGTGAGTTTTTCAAGTTGAATTGAAAGAATATGTTCTAAATATCATGTCTTCTTCCCACACTCCCTTTAAAACTTGATGACAGAAGACAGCAAAATAAAGAGAAATTCTTTAAACAATGGAAAAAAAAAAGAACTGCTAAAATTTTATTAAAATAATTCAGGAAATACACTGAAGAGATTGAGTCGAAACTACCTTATTTTACTGAACTATCTACATGTTCTTATCCTGAATAATACACAAACAATTAAGTAGTTTAACTTTTAAAGAAAAGGACTATTGTAAAAAAGAAATACCCTGACTTTCAATAAGTTTGCTAGATCATTAAGCAATTAACAGTGTATCACTATTTTATTATTGTGCCTCCTGCAGAGCAGAGCGACACTTAGGGGTCACTTTGCGTCTCTCTGCATATCTGCCTATCTGTCTGCCTGTCTGTAAAATATTATATCAGCATTACAGATACTTGACATCGACCTCTGACCTAATTTGAAAAATACTCTGGACGATTAATTTAATTTACGCATTTTGAATTTTAAGATGCTGTATTCGATATTAAGAATTTATATCATATTTCATGAGCTTAACATACTGTTTTTTGAAACTGAATGCTATACATTATCACACGAACTTGAAATATTATAATATTCATATTTTGTAGTTGTTAAACCTGCACTGGCGTCTATGCAAGAGGAGACGGGCGAAAGTCGTGAAAAGTGCCTGGTAAAAAACAAAATTTATTTGAAAATCATGTTTATTATAAGCGTCAGCTTCCGTATTGAAACAAGTAGCCTGATGTTTACAGGGAAACACGTCTCAGCCAGAAGCAGAACCAGTTCTTCCTGACTTTATCCTCTAAATATGTTCAATTTCAATTACAGGAGAAACTTGCAGAAATGTATCCTACAAATAAGAATACCACACCTACTCAGGTAAATGCTGGTGTTGAAGTAAATACGCGGCTAGGATAAGACTGTCCGAAGAATGTCGCAGTGTACCAGCCGCAGTAACTTCTCTGAACTACCTAGATATGACGTCATAATGGCATATGACGTCAAGTCACCGCAAATTTGAGCAGACATGACGGGGAAAGTGTCATAACTTTTACATCCCTTTCACATCACATGTAGAATTTTTTTACGTTGATGTTTAATTCATGTGTCTGGATTGTTGTTTTAAGGCTGTTATGATGGTGAATATTTGCAGTATAATATCGTTATTCCTTTTTCTTGTTCAACATGTACGTATTCAAACAATTACAAAAAAAAAATGTAAAACGCTCCCCCTTACGCGTCTGTAGACAGAGTGAGAATTTATAAATCGTGTATATATTAGACTGGCACAAGTGAATAATAAGGATTAATTGAAGATGTTCTGTGTGAATCTACCAGAGAAATATGTCCTCTAACTGAATTTTGCTTGGGGATTGTATGTAATTTATCCCATTTTGCATAAATTGCGATGAGGAGTGGAAAATGACCCCCTATATGCGGGTAAGTTGAATTTCTCGTGAAATATTTTCTTAAGAAATAAAATTCAGACTTGCCCCCAGCACTTTATATATACGTAAGAATACGTTTAATTGATTTATGTAACAAGCTGTTCACAATAATTTTGTTTTTCACTTGTGCCGATGCAATTTTTAAGCAACATTTAAGAAAATGTATGTGTCCGTCACGTGATCAACCCAGTCATGTGAATTCACAGAAATCCTGTTTTATAATACCTTATTCAACTTTCTTTACAACTTAACTGTTTATGTATACATAGATTACAAATTGAAATCAAAACATAGCTCAATTAAAATAGTATATATCTAATGCATATTAAGCCTTCGGACAGCCTTAACATTGCTGCGTATAAGTAAATATGCACTAAATGAAAGAAATGAGAAAAAGTTCAATATATTTTATCTTCCAAACCTCTACACATTTCAGCTATGAATACAAATTTAATTTTCCTTGATCGCAATTATTACGGATGAAAAACTCTAAACAAGCATTATCCGACTGATGTTCATACAATAAAGAAAGGTTTTGCAGTGTATAATAACATACCCATGTATATCATAGTGATCAAGAGGTTTATTAGTAATTAGTCATATTTTTATACCTTACTGATAACCACTGATCCACTATAGTTTGTTAGCAGTTTTTCATCTCTGACAAGTAGTTGGTAACGATTTTTTCATGTTTTCCCCCTTAATCATTAGCCATTTTATCATATTTTTAATAGGTTGCTGACCTAGTTACTTTTCTATGCTCACCAGCAGCAGACAACATGACAGGAACAGCTATTCCTGTAGACGGAGGATATACAGCAAAGTAGACGCTTCATAATGTCTTATGTCCACTCCTAAAAAGGCGGGCTTATTTACTCTCACTGCTTACAAAACAAAGCCTAACAGGAATCCTTCTCATAATTACATTCTAAACCGGCCAATATATAGCATATATTCATTGCTTGTTTGGTAAATATGAAACAATGCGTGTACTCTTTTGATGAATTGAACATATCAATAACATATCACATTTGATATATTAAATGTGATAATTTATTATTTTATTATCTTTTATTGTTATTATATATAAAAATAAAACTCAATATATTCAGAATAAAAAAGTTTAACTTGAAACTTATTTCATATATGGTCTTGGGTCAGACTACATACATGTTGTTAGTTAGGAACTCCGGCATATTTTTTTTTTTATATCTAAACCTTATAGTGCTTGTTGAAGAATCCTAGTGCTTTTTATGAATGAATTTTAAAGAAGACCTATCAGAAGATATTAGAATTTGCAATTGTCCTTTAAAAAGCCAAGTTTTTGATTTATTGTCGGGAATGGTGCCACAAAGTGAAGAAAAGTTATACGTTTTGATCTTACTGACGTTTGAAAAAAAAATTGTGATTATAATTTTTTCTAGAAGTTCTTTGGAATTTTTGAGAATCAACATTTGTTTTACATTCGTAAGAGCATGCTCTACGTATGAACAATTTCTAAAACGAGGCAAACTATTGACAAACAAGTTGATGAAACAAGGATATCAACAGTCATCATTTCCCAAGTTTTACGGTCGATACAATGAACTTGTCGGCACATACAACCTATCATTAAGTCAAATGCTGACCGATGTTTTTCATACTAATTGTTAGGCCATTGCTTGTACACTGAACTGTCTACGGATTTTTCCGGTTTTTCCTCCGATCATGATAATGAGCACACGGCGGGTGTGACCGGTCGGCAGGGGATGCTCACTCCTCCATGGCACCTGATCCCACCTCTTATTTTTGAGGTCCGTGTTTGCTCTCCTCCAAATATGAATCGTTTAATTGGACTTTCGAGATTGAATACTGTTCTATATCTTCATATTTCACCACTTACTGAAAATGCTGTATCACAGTACGTGTTAAGATTTTTTCCCCGACAGTTTTCTTTAAAAAAAAAAAAATAAATAAAGATAGGTGCTTGGTAGAGCAGTTGCTGGTTCCGCTGTTGTAAATTAAAACTTTCCCCTTTAGTGAGACTTCCACCGGAAGTCTTGCTCTAGAGTAAGCCTTCTTCCCTAGTTTGAAGTCTAAATGTAGAGTCATATCCCCCCCCCCCCACCCAAACTGAAAGGTATCAGAATTGAGTATGTCTACCCAAGAGGGAAGCCTCATGTAAGATCCTTAGCCCCCCTCCCCTGCAAGATTTGCTCTAAAGTGATACTATCCCCATTAGAAAGGCTCACTCGTGGCCATGTTTCATCGTTGAAGTCTTGTTCAAGAGTGAAACACCCTCCTACTCTATCCAGGTAAATTCTAAATTTGTCAACTTATTGCAAAGGAAAGGAGGATATGCATTTTTAATTAATAGTAATTTATACAAAAGTAGTGCTCATGCTGTCTTTATTTACTTTTATTTCATACTATATTAAACATATGTTTACGTTATACTTATTTAATCCATACGAAATGATAATTTAAAATTACATTGTTCAAAGGTTTTTAAGATATCAACAGAAAACGAAAGTGTTAAATATATAATAGTTAGTCGGACGGACGTACAAACGGATAGTCAGACCAAAACTAATATTATCCACCTTCAGTGAAAGCGGAGGCAATAAATTCACTGTAGTAAAAGCTTGGTATTTTAATAATTTCTGTAGAGTAAATGAATTATTAGTAAAAGTAAGATTAAATGGAGCTGGATGACCTAGTATGGGAGAAGTCTGACTCTACAACTACTGGTAAAGTAGGTCTTCTTGCAGAGAGGTGGAGCTTTAGAATAATACTTCCCCTGCGTTCTGCTGCTCTAAAGTCATTCACCTTCTAGAGGGAATACTCACTCGAAAACATAGCTTCCGGGGGAATTCTGACTAGACTGGAGTCTCAGTCTACAACACCTGCAATGTATCTTTGTTGATTTCAACATATTTCATTATGTAGAAACATAAAAAGATTGGGAAGCAGGCAAAGCCTATATAAGCCCTCTCCACCAATGTATCTTTATAAGAATTTCTATGACATTAAGGAATCCAGTATAAGTAGGGTAGATCGAGCTCATTTTCTTTGGCTAGACTGTTAAAAGTTTTAAAAAATGAACTTTGATTTGGAAAATTTACAAAAACAACTGTGAGTATAAACTGGATTTGCAGATGTAGAAATAAAACCAAAATCTTCTAAAATACAGTTGTAACAAAGAGGCCTACAATCGGAATGAAATATATGGAGATAACGAACAGTATTCAAGCTCAAAAGTAAATTAATCAATACAAAATAGGAGCAGAGCAAACACGGACATCCAAACATCAGAGGTGGGATCAGGTGCCATGGAGGAGTGAGCATTCCCTGCAGACCGGTCACACCCGCCGTGTGCTCCTTGTCATGATCAGGAAATAACGGAAAAATCCGTCGACAATTCAGTGTGTAAATAATGGCTTAACAATTAGTATGAAAAACGTCAGTCAGCATTTGACTCAATGATAAATTGAATTTGCTGACAAGGTCATTGTATCGACCATAGAACGAAATGATGACTTTAAACGAGACAGCTGATATTCTTGTTTCATCAACTTATTTGTCAATAATTTACCTCGTTTTAGGAATTGTACATACGTACAGCATGCTCTTGCGTATCGAATCAACTGAGAGATATATACCCCATATGCAGGTGATGAAGGTATATTGCTGCATAAATAAGGGGAGTTGACGATTGAAAAGTTAAAGTCATCACGTTTATCATAAAGCTTGGTTGTTAGATTACTATTAACGTCTTTTTCAAGTAAAATATCCAAATATGAAACAGATGTGTCAGACTCTGTGGTATCTTTTATCTCAAGTTCACAAGGATATATCGTATCGACATAAGAATGGAAATAGCCATTGTTAATTGACAATACGTCGTCGATATATCTAAATGTCGAGTTGAAGGCCACAGGAAGTGTTTTCTTCCTTTCACGTACAAGATTTTGGACAAATTCTGCTTCATATGAATACAAAAAAAGGTCTGCTAATAACGAGGCGCAATTGGTACCCATGGGATTTCCAATAGATTGTTGGAAGACCTGGTCTCCAAATACCACATAGATATTGTCAATCAGAAACTCAAGCATCTTTTTAATGTCAACTTCAGTGTACTTGTGTGAACAATCAGAATGTTTTTTAACAAAATAATTTTGCAAATGACCAATGTCAAGGTAAGTATATTTACGAGTTCCATTTTTATTGAAAAAGAATCTGTCAATGATATCAAAAAGCCTGGACTTTAATTTATCGTGGGGAATGGTTGTGTACAAAGTTGAAAAGTCGTAAGTTTTTAAGCTGTTGATTTTGGTAAAATCTTGTGCTTTCAAATTTTCCAAAAGTTCCTTGGAATACTGTTCGAGCCTTGTTAAAATACAGTCATTTCCTATTGAAAATAGGATGTTTATTCTTTGTTTAACGTCCCTATAGAATTTTTCACTCATATCGAGAGAGTAGCATTTGCCGGTGGAGGACTGCAAATTTAGACCTCAACTTGGCACCGAGGGCAATCGAGCAGTGAGGAATCTTTTTCGTGCCAAAATCTACTGCGACACGGGACCTCGGTTTATACGGTCTCATCCGAATGACAGGACTCCGCGTCCCGCAGTGGGATTTGCACCTGCGAGGTTAGGATGAACTCCTCAACTCTATAGCACACGTTCTAAGCACTGCGCCAAGCGGGTGACTAGAATATATGTAGAAAATGCGTTTTCTTCTGGCGAAAATTTTCTTAATTTCTCGTTTGCATTTCAAATAATAAGCGCTAAGTTTATATAGTTTTTATTATTTTCATTCATTGGGTTGCTTTAAACAATATAAAAGCCTTTCATGACATTATTTTCTATTCATACCAATTTCAGTTCCTGCAAAGTTAAAATATAAACTATATGTAAGAGGTGATGAAAAATATGAAAAAAAAAAATGAATTTAAATATGAAAGTAATTAAAAGCGAGTTACAAGTATACAGCTGATTTGACTCCGGTATATACATAATATTCAGTCCATATGATACAGTACATGTATATAATATATATGATACCAGTATACCGGTATATACATAATTTGTTACCATATGATACCAGTATCAACATAATGTGCTGTCCATATGATACCAATATCTACATAATATGTTGTCCGTATGATATCAATATCTACGTAATATGCTGTCCATTTGATACCGGTATTTACATATTATGCATTCGATTTGATACCAGTATATGATTACACAACAGTCCATTTAATATCATTTGGTTCTCAATAAGCTGTTTAACCTGGCGGCTTCGCCACAATTAAATTCTTTAGCGCAACAGTTAAAAAATCATCGTCATTGTTCTACCATTGTAAAATATTAGCGCCACTGTCAGATCGTCATCGATTATGAACAGAAATATCAATGTATAAATTCATATCTCAAAATGAACTTCTAAATTATAAACCGTTTTTCGGTTTCTAATGCTTAACCGTTAATCTACTCTAATTAGGGTCTATTATTTTGCTTGCACAGTCAATATCTTATAGACTTAGCTGCATGGACTTTATGTGTTCATGAAGAGAAAGAGACAAGCCTTTTTTTCACACTCTCCCGTAATTGCGATGACATTTTTGATACTAATTAACTATTTAGCTTTACTGACGATAACCATATCTCTAAAAATCCATAAGCACTTTGAGCAGCTGTTGAGTCAAACATTGTACGTGTAATAATCGTGTGTCGAAAAATTCAGGAAAGTTTCAATGCAATAGAATTTTATGACTCTAAAATTGATAAAAGCGTTTTTAATTCACACGTTTTAGATGCTAAAGTCAACTGAAATCATATAGATGAAAGCTCGATTGTTTGACCTACCAGAAATTCTTATGCACATTATTGACTTCTGTAGGTGTTTACATT